ATATCAAAATACCATTATACTATTACGGTCGTCCAAAAGTACACAAAGAGCTTCGGATCATTACATAGGAGCCACATAGACCTAAATGCCTATGGATGGCTCATCCTATATAAATTTTATTTTTTTATTAGATTATAGTAAAATTTGGGCATGAGACACATTTGTATTGGGCTTTAGCTTGTCTCGGGTCTTTTAAAGGAGATGTTATACACATATCTTAAATATACATGGTAGAGGATCTTGAAGTAGACACATGTCTTCATTCTATGAATCTCTAGGCCTCTCTCTTCTAAAAGGGGGTACATGACATTCATGTAAGGGTGGATACTTGTCTTTATTCTATGAATTTTTACTCACCTTTTTTCTTGAATGGAGCATGTGTTATTTATTCAAGCGATATTCATCCTTATAAAGTATTATAATCTAAAAGTGAATTTACATTTAATAGCTCCATCAATTGCTTAATTGGTATTAGTCCATTCTAAGTTATCATTGTTATCAATGCTAGACATAGTTGTCCTATAAACTAATTACATAAGTGATGACATATGTGACACACTATGTAGTCTTTTTGCTTATTATTATTATTAGTATTTTCTCACTTTATGATGTTCATAAATCTGTCAATACTTAAGATTTATAAAGTTTCTTGGTACATATCCTTCGACCTTATCTCGGTAATTAGAGTTTATCTTTGCATTCTTCACCTCCACTCCTTTTATGATCATGTACTCTCTCTCCATGAAAGTAAAGGATTGATGACTTCATGGAAGTCCTACCTATGTAGTACCATGACATTGTCATGCTCATGACTCTACTATCTATCATCTCGCATCTGCATCCCTATTTTTGTGATTGCTATATCCATCTCTATAGCATTGTGTACTCCTCTGAGTCTATCTCTCTACTAACTAATGTTTGATTTTGGGTAGCTTAGTCCCTCTTGACTCATTGTTATTTCTTTGTCCTTTTTTTAAACACTTACTTCAACACTTTGGTGTTCCTTGAGCAGTTTCCCTTTGTCGATAAAAAAATAGTCTACAACACTTGCTTCAACACTTGCTTCACTTTTGGCTGAGGTATTTCACCAAGTTTCACTCAAGTTTCTTCACTCCTCGATTTGTATTGAGTTGATGGTAGCCCTCATACTCACAATTTTATTGGTCAGCTTTTCGTTGAGTCTGATCCCCACTTGATCTTGTAATACATCTACCAATGCATTATTTTGTGTGAGATTATACGATGACTCCTCGCTGCTTTATCTATTCATTGAGTTTTATAGAGCTATTACTTTAAGGTATCCCCCTCAACATGTGTGGTTTGTTACATATGATTCTCCCTTTAGATAATCAAAACTTATCTTTTTTGGATATCTATCCATTGGGATAATTTTTCTCTTTGCATCCTTTCCTTTGGGCATTTTGGAGACTAACATCCCTTTAGACTATCCCACCTTGCTGCACAAATCATACACGATTTTGCCTCCATGATCGTACTTACTAGATTTTGACTCTTTGCTAATACAGCAATCACTACATCCCTCAAGACTTGGTAACATGCTAAACTTATAATATACTTCAGCCTCCTACGAACATATCCTTCTTATGTCGAAGAAAAAAATTTTATGCTCCATAGTGCTAAGTTTCATATGCCTTCGGATGGCCATGAATAGTTCATCATCCGTATACAAGCCCTTGCATAAGTATTAAATTATTCAAGATAGTAATTTCCCTCACTTCTATGAGCTATTTATAATGTTTTCAATCGCTGAGCAACCCATCTCTCCTTGCATAGTCTCATCCTTTACCAAGCCCCCCGCTTGCCTTAAGCACCATCAAGTTTGGTTACTAACATTGAGCCATAGCTCAAACTCAGCCATCCTAATCTTTGTGTACCGTATGTTTTTCCCGGCTCGCTTATCCTCATGGTGCCTCTTGCTCGAATATCTGCTCATCTAAACGACTCCTTTTCTTATGTCTCTATGCTAGCTTCCTACAAATGATTACACGTGCAAGATGCCCTCAATGCAGCCTCACGAGGTCTCTCACATTTGTATGTCAAATATTTCTAAATGTATTTATCTCACTCTAATATCATCTATTATAAATTTAGCTAGTTTTGCCTAAGTCTTGCAGCACCCTTACATGTCAATCCATAAAGGGTTAACATTCCGAAGCCTCTTATGGTTCCTTAAGGACCTACAAAAGAGAAGATATATTAGAAGATGCGTTTAACTCGAGATCTGATAAGCAAATATTTCAACAAACACTTGATAGGCAATGCAAATTGCATACATATACTTAGTAAGCTTTTCACGATCACGCGATAAAGCGTTCAAGGTGATCCATCATACTAAAAAATATCCACAAATGCTCACATGATACTATTGTGAAATAAGATAAAAAATCAACCTTAAACACTACCACAAAGGTCCACCTAGTCATATGCTACCAGAGTAACTCTTGGGCACTGTGTTGGTTGACACTTCACATCATTCTGTAGAGTTAGAAAACTTTTAAAATGACTCCTAGATGACTTGTTTTTGGCTCGTTTTGCTTCGATACGATGGTTATATATAACTCATGTTTATAATACTAAAACTCCTATAAAAATCAATTAAACTAGGGTTGTCAAGCCTACTATACGCCCTCTACATATTGTATAAAGCATTAATAAAATCAAAAGACATATGCCTTCTACACAAATATTATATCGAATACCCTGTGTATAAATTTACCCTTGATAATATGGTAGAAGACCTTAGAGTGGACATATGCCTCCATTCTATTCATCTTTAACCCTCTCTTTTTTTAGAAAAGAGTGTATATGTGACATTCCTCCTCATCTTATATATCCATACATACCACTCTTATAAAAGGAGATATGTGATACTCATCTAAAGGCAAACATTTTTCCTCATATGAATCCCTACTTATTTTTTTTAGAATGAGACATGTGTCACTTGTCCGAGGAACATCTATAATTATAAAAATATTATAATCCTCTCTCTCTCCCTCTAAAAGTTTTAAAAATAAATGAATGATTAAAAAATTGAGTGCTTATAGCCATTGAGAATCCTAGGTGAGTGGCCTAAGTGAGAGTGACCTAAGTAAGGAAAAAGTTCTCAAAAGGTGATAGACTCTGCTCTAGCTTTTTTTAATTCCCTCTTTCTTCTCACCATCTGTCTTCTTCATCTTCAACGCAATAGCATCACCACCAAAAGGAGCAATCATATTAGTCATCGATTAGCATCAATACAGCCCCTATTAATAATCACATCAATCATGCATTATACTACTGGAAGGCCACAATTCTTTTCTACACTCATTTTCTTTCGATTCTCGATACAAGCTAAATCCAATCTTATTTAACTAGAAGCATTTAGACTAACTAATTCCAATTTAATTCAATGTCATCCCCAATGAATATAATTTTAAAAATATGTTTATTATATTAAATTATGCATAAAATATATATACACGAACATGGACACAAAATCTATCAACCGATGTATTAACCGACATGATGTCCCAATAAAAATAATAATAAAAAAATTTGATTATGCTGTTAAATAATATATATATATGATTATGGATTTGATATATGGGTTTATAAAGCTCCCAATTTTTGCAATCTAATAATGCAATGTCTTTAAAGCTCTATAACTTTGTTGTGAAATGATTAATGATGGTGATGGGCAGCCCGTTGTTTGATGGCGACCGGAAACAGCAAAGATATGAAGCTTTTCTTGTGGTGAGGGTCCCAATGCATTGGACATGCACATGAAACTATGTTAGGTGTTAATTTATCACCTTCTTTGTCATTTAATTTGTAGCCACAAATCAAGGATCACATGGACCCAATCTTCCCACTGCACATGCATGCATGATTTGCTACCCTATCAATTGTGCATTCAAAATATTCCTCCACAAACCTTCAAAAAGGAGTTGCTATTGAATTCAATGTAGTGTGCACACAAAAACATCAAGGTGTTGGTGCAGTGGAATTCAGCTCAAGAAAACAAACCTGTTGCTGTTGATCTCACTGCACTTTGACATGCACAACAGCTGATGGTGTTGGTAACACAGTTTGATTACTTGTAACTGTGATTGCTCAGCAATATCCTCTTGTTTATATATATATAAAGAAACCCTTGGACTTTTAATGGTTTTGTTATTAGATAAATATTCTTGGTCTTTTTTGGTATGTGGAGATATTTTTTAGAATATGTTGAGTTCTCATAGAATTTTCTTAAATAAATCTAGAGATGTTGAGAGACATTTTTTTATATTTTTAAGAGATAAGATGTATAAAGAGTTTTACATTTGGATTTGGATTAACCGGAAAAAGTTTTATTTTTATATTTTATTATTCTTATATATCGAAGAATTTAATTTTTTTATGTAAGCAAGAGATGTCGAACCACACAAATGTTATCTCGACTTTTATTTTTAATTTATATTTTATCATTGATTTTTTTGGAATTAATTCTTCTCCCCCTATATGTACTTTTGTTCATAATAAACAAAAGGAAAAAAATAGTGAAAATAGAAAAAAGAAAGAGAGAGAATTGTGATAATTAAGCTTTCATTCCTTGTTTTTTTTTTCATTTTTGTTTAAAAAATAAAGTTATTTTTTTATCTTGTTCATATGGAACATATGTTTTTTCCCAGGAAAAACAATATCCTATCTGGCACATAAAATAAAACTTAATTTTCATGCAGAAACAGTTTCTAAACCCTTAATAATGGAAATCAACATAATATTTTCTTCTTCTCTTTCCCCTCACTTGTTGACAGAGGGACTAAACATATCCAACTTTTCTGCCTCATCTTTGCTGAATCTGAACTGAGAATTGCATGGTGAGTCTGCAAAAGAATTCAGTTGCAGGTTTGTGGTGGCTTTTCTACTATTCTCAGCTCAACTCATTCATTCTGAGAGCTGCCATAGATATCATCTCTGAGCCAACAAAGGTTGTGAGCTTCCAAGACTGAACCTCTGCAAAGTGAACCAGCACAAGAAGTCTCTGATCCTTCTGACACACCCTTTTGTCCTTCACCAACAGATGGATTCTACTGCATGGCCGTTTGCCATGGGAGGAAGAGGTAGAAATGGATCCCTCCATGTCCCATCCACCCACTCTTTCATGTTACTGCAGTCATGTCCTTTCTGGGGAATGTTACCGCAACCCAAATTATCAGAGAGCATTGCCCCACCACCATGGAGCAAGAAACATGGTCTCCAAGCTTCCTTTCCCCACCTTAAAGGAGGCAGTGGTTGAATGAGAAGGAGATAGAGGAACTCCTCCTTCCCCTTGCAGCTCTTTGCACTGTGAATGGGGAGGCACTCTTGCTGCTACAAGCAGAAGCTGAGGAAAGGGTTGTGGTCGCCGGACGAGGATGAGAAGCTTGTGAAGCACATCACGGAGTTTGGCCATGGCTGTTGGAGCTCCGTCCCCAAGCTAGCAGGTAATTTCACTTCATGACATGGAAGAGACGGCGATTCCGATGTCTGATTCCACTGATAGCACGAGCTTTCAGGTCTTCAGAGGTGCGGCAAGAGCTGCAGATTGAGGTGGATCAACTACCTGAGGCCTGACCTCAAGAGGGGCACCTTCTCGCAGCAGGAGGAGGACCTCATCGTTGAGCTCCATGCAGCTTTGGGCAACAGGTCCTCCGCCAGCCACTAGCGCCGGCTTCGATCTCTGTGTCTGGCTTTTCGTTTTCTTGAGCCTTCCCGCTGTTTCCTTGCCTTCAGGTGGTCTCAGATCGCGGCGCGGCTGCCGGGAAGAACGGATAACGAGATCAAGAACTATTGGAACTCGTGCATCAAGAAGAAGCTGAGGCAGAGAGGGATCGATCCGAGCAGCCACATGCCACTGTGCGAGACGGATGGAAGAGAAGAGCGAGAAGCCATGAACAGCGACAAGACCTCTGGATTCATCTCCGTGGTGGCGAGCAACCAGATCGAGAGCGAAGATCCAGCGACGCCCAGCAAAGAATTCTTGGTAGATCAGCTCGACCGATGCGCTCCTCTGGTCGGGCCATCAGCTCCTCAGAATCCGCCTCTCTGGTTTAGCCATCACACCAGGCTGCAAGACCTTTTTCCATCGATCTCAAGCTCGATCCTCTCGTCGTCAGGGGAGGTGAAACCCATGACGAGTCTCCCACAAGTCAGCTACTCCCTGCCGGAATTCCACTACCTGGACACGGGCAATTCCACAAACAACAGCGCGAACACCGCGGACAGCAGCAACGAGTTCGAGTTGCAGAGCAGTGGTGGTAATCTTTTGGACAGCGGCATCTTCCCATGGTCCGAACTTTTGCCCAACAAGGGTGCCCAAATCCATTTCGACGGCGAGCCGCAGGATCTCAAGTGGTCCGAGTACCTCAACGGTACCATTGCACCGACAGCAGCGGCCCACAGCCATGGCCAAGGCTTGAGTTCTTGGCATGAGAACCAGCAGCCACAACCTTCTGATCCTTATCTTAAGAACTGATGCATTTAGCTTCGATCACAAGTGTCAGATTCAGAACCGAGTCAAGAAAAAGGGAAGGAATTCTTTTGACATGTATGTAAATAGATGTTTATGATACAAAACTTTGAGTTCTGTTTGAGTTCGAGTAGTCGTGCAGACCAAAGCTTGTCATTTCTGTGTCATCTCACCTGTGTTCTTCCTCCATATCTTGTAGCATGCTTGAGGCTAAGATAGGTTAATGTTTGCTCGAGTGAAGCTTCACCACCATGAAAGCGACTCAGTCAGCTACGCTTCGGTTTCAAGGCTCTGAGGTGAACGTGTAGTAACATCAAGTGACAGAGGACATGAAATAAAGAGTTGTTGCAGGCAGCCACAGGTGGGTGGACGGTGACCACCAAACTTCCACCACCCGTAAGCACAGACATTACCTTAAAGTCCACAAATGAAGGGTAAGTATGAGAAGCATTTCTTGGTGGAGTCTTCCTCCTTACAACATGGAGTTGGTGGAGATTTAAGGAATCATTTAGAACATTTGTCTTTGTGGAGTCCATGTTTGAGGATTCATCATTTGGCTTGTGGTTGGTTGCTCTTTTTGTGTTCCATTAAGACTTCAAAGTTCAAATCTAGTGGAAAGTTTTCTTCATATAAAACTTGATACTTACTAGTTCAAATCTAGTCATTAAAGAGAGCAAGTATTATTGTGAGTTTATTAATGCAAGATATGGAAGATGAATCTTTTTCTCTTCAGAGTTCACATCATTACTTCCTTTTCATGAATGATTTGAATATTAATCGATTCAACAAAGACAAAAGTAAGTCAATAGTATCAAGCAATATATCAATTACTTTAATGAAAGAAGAAGAAGAAGAAGTAATCGAAAAACAAACAAAGGAGGAGGAGAACGAACGATGGTGCCATGTTCTAATGGCTTTCTTGTCAGTCGCAGTGCTGGCGACATCCATCATTGACAGATGCGCTTGCTTCATTAGCAGAGAAGATGAACCATGGAAAATGATGATTGAGTCAACGGTCTGAGCTGATAACAAGCAAGCATCAACAGGGAAGTCAACGCAAGAGCAGCCTCGAGGGCCCAAAGCACTGTGGCCACATTGTAACTCCAAAAAATAATCATGCAACAATAACAATAAAATCATAAAATCTTGATTATTGGAATTGACTGCATAGACTTTTATCATTATTAAAATCGATACAAATTATATATTTAGTTAATTTTTTATATATAATTTTTTTTCTTACCACTTTCTCTACCTCTTCTTATACTACTACTAAGAATAATTCTCTTCATATTTTAGTAGTATAAAGAACACATATCGGTATTATCTTAAATGATATTGCTTATTTTATCCTCATACTTGATCACGAGTAAAAAAAATTTTGTTCTCATCTTCCCTAGTAACTCCATAAATTAATCTTGATATTATTATTACATAATATAAATATTTTACATAAATTATTTCTTAATTCTAGGGACTTTACATAATATAAATATTATTATTACATAATATAATATAAATATTTTACATAAATTGTTTCTCTTTACTTAGAGAAACACTAAGTATTATTTAATATTAAATTGTTTCACTAAGTATACTAGGGAAGCATTTTCAATTAAGATTTAATATTAAAAATTATGCTAGTCGGTATTAACAAGATTTAGATTATTCATGTTATGTGGTTGATATACAATATTATTTATTTTGTATCGACTTCAAAATTCTCTATAAGATATCCTAGTAATTAGGGCACTAGAAGGTGAATATCAATTCATTTCATTGACATATAAAATACATAATCATGTTCTTTATTATCTCCCATCAAAATTTATTTTGGCAAATGTTATTCTTTATTAACACCTTTGATTATTTTTCTCATTTGTTTTTTATATTATTCATCAACTGTCAAGAAATTTTTTGAGAGAAATAAATATTATGCAAAGGTTGCTATATAGGCTCAATAACATCCACACATAGTACAACTAAATAGTATCTGTCAAATCCCCTGATATTACAATTTATTGATTGATTTATTTATTTATTTATTTTAAATATAAATTTCAAAATTTATAAGATACATACAAATTTGTGCACATGAAATTTTTTTGATATTTTATCAAAAAATCTTGATATTCACTTTTCAAATTCATTTTTACTTGGGAGATTTTTTTTTACTTGGAAGAAAATATCATCAGTCTTTTACAAAATTGACTTGATCACATGTGTTATTCAGAAAAAAATAATTAATTATCATAAAATTTAAAAAATAAAAAATTTCATAACATTAAATCAGAAAAAAATTGATGTCCGCAAAATAAATGATTCATTTTACCAACTCAAGCCATGACTGTCTGCTCATAGAGAGTTCTTACGCGACCGAATCACCACTGAAGGCCGTCAGGGGTGATGTCACGACAAACATATCGCCCGATATTGCTCGATCCGGCCCATCAAGTTAGACCACGTCAGCCAGCAAGTCGTCCATGGTTGGTTCAGTCATGCGTGGGATTCGAGAGATAGGGCTGAAAGCCTCACTCATCAAGGATGATGCATCATTCTGATGGACGTTCCAGATCGTGCAGGTCATCCTCAATGGACGATCCAGATCAAGAGACAGGGATGCACTTGGGATCGACCAAAACAAACATCAAGATGGAGATCTCCCGCCACCATTCTCTTCCGCTTGCTTTTCCTCTTCCTCTTCCTCCGACCTCCTCCGTCGCCATGGGAATCAAGGTGAGAGGTCTCCGTTCCCCGTGTAGCTTCGTTGCTCCCCCAACGCACTCTCATCTCTGTCTCTTTGCCCATGATATTTGTCTGATCTCCTACTCTTCTTGATGCTCGCTAGGGTTTGACGAAGCTCCTCTCCGACAACGCCCCAACTACCATCAAAGAGCAGAGATTCGAGAACTACTCCGGCCGGAAGATCGCCATCGACGCCAGCATGAGCATCTATCAGTTCCTCGTCCGTCCTTTTCCCTAATTGTCTCCCTGCAATTCTACTAACCAAGAACATGATTCATTTTTCGAGCTTCTAGCGCCAGAAAGCTCTTCTTGGATTTGACCTCTTAATCAATTCTCTCTCTCTCTCTCTCTCTCTCTCTCTCTTCTTTTTCTTGTTCTTGAACGAGATTTAAGGTTTAGGGTTCTCCTTTTCTTGAACCAGATGGAGGGTTTAGGCTCCCGCAGAGAGATGCTGAGTATCTAGAGGTTGCTTTTTGTGATGATTGGGAATTCGTATCATCTTGAGGCTTCTGATGTCGTGCAGGTTGTTGTCGGAAGGAATGGCATGGAAACCCTCACCAATGAGGCTGGCGAAGTGACCAGGTCAAACAAAATCTTTCCTCCGCTCGATGAATTGTGTCGCTTATCTCTGTTTATAGTCTCAGTCATGTGAGCTTATATAGATGTGTATGTAACATGTTTTATTTGTTAAATAATATGCATGATTGGTTTGGTGAATGGATAGCCATTTACAAGGGATGTTCAACCGAACAATAAGATTGCTGGAGGCAGGAATAATGCCAGTGTAAATTCCCCCCTGTTTCTGAAAAGTTGGCATGGTCTTTCTTTGTCTTGCAGTTTATTGGTTGAATAATTGTCATTGAAGACTTGTATGTGTTTGGTTCCAGATATGTTTTTGATGGTCAACCACCAGAATTGAAGAAACAAGAGCTTGCAAAAAGGCATGTGTTGGTGAATCAGATTTATATTCTTTAATGTTGTTATCATTTTACTGGAACCTATTGCATGTTCTTTAAGATATCTTACTCTTTAGGAATTTGAAGAGGGAAGATGCTATAAGGGATCTAACTGTAGCAATAGAGGTGAGGCCAGATACCTGATCAGGTTCTATTATTTTTTATTTTTTATTAATCTTCTTCCATATTCTTGTGAACAACTTTCCTTCTCATTGTACTCTTGCAAACCTGTTCCCTAGAGTGATTTTGCTTGAATTGCAGGTTGGAGATAAGGAGGGAATTAGAAAGTTCAGCAAAAGGACTGTCAAGGTACTTTGGGCATCTTTAGATTTTTAAGAAGATAGTTCATAAGGGGGGTTCTGACCGATGCTATCAAATTTAGTCTTCAGAATGACTGGGCTACCCACTTAAAGACCTAACTTTATGGAACCATTCTAGTGATACAATGAATGTAAGTACAGGCTTTTACACTTTGGTTTTCACATCCGAGAATTGGCACTTACAGAGCAGATCTGGGTTTTGTGTCACAAGGGCATGATGTCCCTTGTTTGAGTAGCTGACATTACTATTAAGATTTTGCTACATTGTTTAAGCTTTAAATTTTGCTACCATATGTGTCTGCCTTCTTAGTTTAATAGTCACTAGGACTTAAGACAGAAACTTCTTTCTTCTGTGGCTAGTATGAGATCGAAGCACTGGGTTTAATAAAATTCTAAATCTGTTACAGATAAGGTTTTATGTATGTTATACTTGTTGGCTTTTTGATTATATAGGAAATGTACTCTTGTTCTTTGATCGTCATCTGTTCTTGATGTTTGATAGTTAGTGGATGACCTAAGGCTTTTGTATAATTTCTATGCGCACCAGAAGCTGACTGAGTGATTTCCAAGCTATGTAGCTTTGTAAAGGTGATCTTGAATTATAATTGTCGTCATTTTTTTTCTTAAATAAAATTTTATATTTATCACTGAAACTGGAAATCTGTGAAGCTTGTAGTATTAACACTAGATGGAATCATGAAAGCTACTTACAGGACAAGTTTTTTTGGTTTTGGTTGAACATTCTTCAATCTTGACAGGTTACTAAGCGACATAATGAGGATTGTAAAAGACTCTTAAGATTGATGGGTATTCCAGTGATTGAGGTATATTATTAACTTCATTCACTTTGTTATTTTTTAATTTTGCAAATTCATCCAAAACCCCACATGTTAACAATGTGTTTGTCTCGGCCCCTTGCATATTTTCAGTGGCCCCTTGCATAATTATGACATTTTTTTTCCTTTGGATACATGGTCATACCAGAAACAACAAATAACATGCACTGCTCTAGGTATCTGATCTTCTTCCAAATTCATTGAAACTTTTTCTTGTTATGCTAAGGCACCTTGTGAAGCAGAAGCCCAGTGTGCAGCTATTTGCAAAAGCAATAAGGCATGACAATCAAATGCTTCTTGTTCCTTTTCTTTCTGTAACTCTGAATGTAATTTTTACACTATATTTTCTGAATCTTTAGGTCTATGCTGTGGCTTCTGAAGATACGGATTCATTAACTTTTGGAGCTCCAAGATTGGTTCGTCATTTGATGGATCCAAGTTCCAGAAAGATTCCTGTGATGGAATTTGAAGTTTCAAAGGTGCCTTTATTCTTGACACTATGATGCTGGTTACTTGTTCTGGATATTTTTTATTCTCATGCTGATCTTTCAGATTCTTGAGGAGCTAAAACTCTCAATGGATCAATTCATTGACTTATGCATTCTCTCTGGATGTGACTACTGCAACAGCATTAAAGGTAGCTTGGCCGATAGAGGCTAAGTTGTACTGTAGAGATGTTAAGCATTAACTTGTCTCACATGTTCTTGTGGTTGTCTAATTTTAGCGTTCACATCTCTGATACTAAGGTCCTTTTACTGCTAAAAGATTTTTGTAGAAATTAGAAAAGGCACAACACAAGACAGTTTAATGGTGGAAAAGGGGTTCAAATAATATTTTCCTTATAGTTCGGAACTAATGTTATTGTAAAAAATGAATAAATGAATATATTTTTGTACATGATTTTATTGTTCTTGTTTTTGCTCAATTGAAGTCGTGTTTTATAATTATGCTGTTTAGAATGAATTGCAATTATCTTATCTACATTATTTTCATAGCTGTTTGCTGCAGTTTTCTGCATGCATTGTATATTGTCTTTCTAAATCTCATTTAGCAGGAAAAACAAATTTAACACAACAATAAGAAAGAGTTTGATGAATGCATAATAGTAACAGGTGTATAACAAGAAAGAGGATGAAACTGAATATTTAGAAGAATTTCCAAACTGATTAGAGTTTGGAACTCATTTGATTTGATTTACTCAGCAATTTTGGAATAATGGTATGTAAGCTGAACAGCAACTTATTCTGGAGTTGCTCCATGAGTAGTCATAGTGAGGAAAATTGAGTTTCGGACTATATCGTTACAAATAAACAAAAAATTATACAACATATGTTTCTTAATGGACAGTGCTTGAGCCTACTTCAAGGTCATTGAAGTTGAATTACCAGTGATACACTATCTGTGGCTATTGTATTCAGTTTCTAAATTTAAATTCATCAAGGAGTGGAACATCCATATCTGGCTTAATTACTGAATTGGGAATATGATCCATTCAGATTTTATTTTAGACTGTAATACACATAAGACAAGTTGTGGTTGAATTATTGTTTATATAAACTATCACAAGGCCAACACGACTGCCATATGCTAGCTGATTGTTGTGTATCTAGATTTATTCTAATTTGCACTGAAAATTCCTTTTTGGACCAAATAATCGAAGCTTCTTTTTCTGACTGCTACAGGGGGAGCAGTTTGGGCTGGCTCTCACTGTAGTTTTCAACTTATTGACTTTATTTTTATTTGTATGATTGCCTAATTTAGTGTAGAAAGTTGAATTAACATGATGGTAGTTATTTTCTTGTTCATTAGGTGAATTGTGGACTGGCTATCATAATGTATCAATAACTGCTAGTTTTCTTCTTTGAATGAATCTTTTTTGCTTGCAACATAAACCATAACTGTTGTATGCCTTTGTAACAGGGATTGGGGGACAAACAGCTTTAAAGCTTATACATCGGCATGGTTGCATGGAGAACATTTTGCAGAATATAAACAAAGAAAGGTGCATGACAATCTTCCTAGAGAATTTGATCTTTGCAGAATTTTTTTTTTATAAAATTATTACCTTGCAGATCTTTTATGATTTCAAGCTAAAATATCATCATGATTATGTTGAACATATTTGATTTTTTTAAGGAAATTCTTGAAATTTGTATCTTTTGTAGTTAGTAGTTAATAAAATTCTTTGCAGAAGGAAATTCTTATGATGAGGCTTTATCAACCATCTCAACTAATTCTTCATCCGCACTTCAAGATGGTTGTACTTTGCCTTATCCTCACTGACATTTCAGACTACTCTGTTCTAGCATATTGCTAGTGGTTGAAAATTTGGGATAGTTTTTTCAATGCATGCGTCCTAATTTATTGACCTACGGGGAATAGATAATTTCTTTGCCACTTCTAGAGCCATCACCAATTATATTACTAAATTGGTAAAGTATAAGGTAATGCTATGCATCATTTTCATTGTCCTCTAAAGCGAGATATCTCGAGATGCCTACCAATAACATCCGACCTGACCTAGGGTGTACCATGTGTCATGCCATGCCATTTATGGTGTTGTTTATGTCATTATGATGGATTGGGTGATGTCATTCTGGTCACTTGTGCAAGCATTTGACACTTCTATAGTTGAATGATACTATGCCCAAGTCACAAAGCAACCTGAACATGTGTGATAGTTTGGTGGTCAAGAATAATTTATGTCATAGCTGATGTTAACCAGAGAAGCGTGGCTGTCCACATCTGAATTTTAATCTCTTAGAAAATTTATGCAACAAATTAAATAAAGGCACTAGAAGATGATAATAACAAAACAATAATTTGGATCAGAAAAATGAGGATCAAAGTTGTAAAGGGAAGAAGCAGATTAGAAGTCAGAAGCTGAGAAGAGACATCAAAGAGAGGAAATGGAGATGGTTTAAGATGATCTTGCCAAAAGAAGCACCATTTTTTTTCATTATATCTTATTCAAAACTCAAGAGAAGGCATTTAAATTCATAAAGATTGATGGTATTTCACTCACAAAACGAGTCATCTAGAATAGGAAATTAATAATTTTCTTTAATTGGAGGCTTCCTTTAGGTGTTCTTAGTTTCTTCCTAAATCTGTAAATACAATAAATCTGCATGGCATCCTTGACTCTAAAACATTCTCCTAATAAATCACTTGTCATGTCCTATAGCACATTAGGACACAAGGAATGACCCACATATTTTAAGTGATATTTTAATATTTATAATCCAAATCTAAGATCGAGAATTAAATTATCATGATCTTTTTTGGTTGTATCAGCCGACAAATCTCATGCTATGGTGCACCAACATCTGAAACACTGGGTTTTGGTACCATGTTGTCTTAGTGTTTGCCTTGTGGCTTAAGCTTTGGATGGAATAGGATGGTTTGCACTAACTTCTGAAAAATGGATTTAGAATTACTAGTTCTGATCGTTGGCTTGACGTTTCACCATCATTATGCTCAGGAGAGGAAATGAGGTATTTATTGTGGAGGAAGGGATTAAGCTAGGGCTGCATCTATTCACTATACGGGTCAGATTTGTGGAACCTTATTCGAGAAATGGCACCTGTCTCTAGCATTACAGCTTTAGAGATACACAACGACCTTCCTCTGCCATTTTGGTATTACAAACTCAAGCTGCTTGTCTTCATTTCTTTGCTTTTTCTTTAATATTCTCAATGCTTCTCGTGGAACCTTGTCATTTGAGTTCGTGATGATGCAAAACTATAGCACATATAGAGTGTAGGGTGGTGATGTATTTCAATTTACCATGGACCTTACATCATGCCTTTTTGTCACAGGTATCACTTACCTGAGGACTGGCCTTATAAAAAAGTTAGACAGCTGTTCAGAGAACCTAATGTTTCTTCAGAGATTCCAGAGCTCAGGTGGACTGCTCCAGATGACGAGGTATATGATGAAAATTAACTTAGTGCGACTCGATCAATCAATTGTGACATCTTTGTTTTTTTTTCATCCTTCAGGGTCTTGTGAACTTTCTGGTGAATGAAAACAGTTTCAACAATAAACGGGTAGCAAAGGCATGAACCACTCAATCTTGTGTATTATTCATGAATCTCAATCAATTTATTCTCAGAGGAGCCTCTTGTGACATCTGCTTGTGTTTTGTACTGATTAGGCAATAGAAAAAATTAAAGTGGCCGAGATTAAATTTTCTCAAGGGAGGTAAGTATCTAATACCCTTGTTGCCCTAAAACATCATCGGTTGTATGTTGCTCTCTGACCGTTTGAATTTTCTTAGGTTGGAAGGTGTGAGTGCATATGCACCTTCTAGAAGGAAGGTATGCTCATAGCAAGTAACATATTTTGGTTGAACATATTGTGATGGAGTACCTGGTCCATTGACTACTGGTTCTTACTTACCCATTTTGAACAAGTGTGCAGGTTAATATATTAATACAATCCAATAACAAAATATTACCAGTTATTGTTGATGTTATGTGCGTGTGCCGATTGAACTCTAGTTTTGCTCATATATTTGTATGCTACCGCACATTAATGATCCTTAAATGAAAAATGGCTTTGTTGAAAGTTGGACCACCAAGCAAGAAGTTAATCTAGTTTCATAATCCAAAAGGCCAAATCACTTTGTTATATTTTCTTAATGTTTGTTATAGCACTCTGAAATACACTAGATTATAGATGTCTGACCTTATAGTGGCCAAATAAACTAACTGCTTTTATATGTCTCAATGTTGTTGAGCATTGCTTTTATATGTCGCAATGCCATGGAGCACATTTAACGTACATTGAAGGTTCTTTAGTTTTAGAAATGAAGATAAAATGATCCATTGTAGGAACTAAATCTGAGCCACTCTGATGATCATTATGATAAATGGATAACAGGAAACCAGATGCATGCTTCACTTTCCCAGACCAACATGCGAATCTAGGATGTTCAGACTGCAAACATTCATTGTCTCGGGCTCCAAAGTTGGCAGCTTGAAGCCGCTGATTCCAGGGTTGCAACAAAGATGCTGTGAGGCAGTGGCTATTCTGAAAAGTTAAAAAGGACTCTGATTCAAGAGAAACTGATTATTGACTACGATTCTTGATTGAAGAGCCCATTTGACTATTCTAGTTTTTTCTTTGCATGGGAAATGTTTACAGTTTCTCTTTGATTATGAAATACATTCCTCGTTCAATTTTGTCATTTATTTTGCACAATCAGGTAGTTTGAGGACTGGATATTGATAGGAAGAAACATTTAAATTTTCTTCTTATGTCATAAATCATGGGTTTTTACTCAAGGGTCATTGATGTTGGGAGAGATTAATTGCTGATGTTGATTTGTCAGAATAATCATAATTTCTTTTTATCTCTAATCTTAATCAGTGACATACTACTTTCTTTATTGCCAAAGATCACCAAGTATGCTACTAACAGTTCATGTGTGTATAACTGTCACTGTCCTGTTGTATTTGTACAGAGTGCGTGGTGAATAAAGGGTGTAAATAGCAAATGCAGGCATGATGCTGTCCTTTTGTGTCTGTTTTACTAATTCTTTTTATGCAGAAGTGTTATCTATCGCATTGCTGCTTCATGGTTGGTCCTTGCTAATGCCATGTAGAATCATCCATCCTGCACATTAGCTTGAGACGTAACTTGTCTTCCTACATTTTCTTTATATCTAGTAGCTTTATGTCTGCCTCGAGTACAAGAAGACTATGATATCATACCATAGGTACTTGACATCCCTTGCTAACACTAATGTCAGCATTTAATTTCTTTTATATACATGTATTTATATACAGGTTGGTTCTGCAAAATCATTGTGCTTGGCTTTTTAAACATCATATTAGGAAGCTGATAATGCAGCCAAGAAAAAGCTGCGGGAAAAGATAGGAACTTCAATCAAGATGTGTGAAGGTCAAAAGTCATCTGTTGCTAACGTTTCTAGTCTTCATCTGCATAGCTTTTTTTTGCCTCCAATGCAGTCTGTGATGCATGAAGTTCAAAAAAAAAATATATGTTTTATCTGATGGGATTACTGGCAATCCCATAAAATTTTTTGGACAAATTTTGAAGAATGGTCTCCACTCCTGGTGCCCAGCTTTCAGCTATCAGCCGAAATATAAGTCGTCAGGTCGTATCATCGATTAAGCTTGTAGCTTCTATTAAATTCTTTTCTAATTTCGTTTTGTCTCACGCATTAAGATTGTTATTCTCTGGAGGTCGTGACGTTACGACCAGAGCACGCGAGCAGGTCACACCGTCAAGGTGCTTCATAGCTTGTTTCCAGCAATCCTTGATCCCAACATACTCCAACCCATGAAAAATAGGTGTTAGTTGATGCTTTAAATCCATCAATAGAGAGTCAAACTACATCGCATCTGCGTTACCAAAAGAAATAGCAGGTGGGATCCTTGCATACGCGGCTGTAAAAGGTGATGTAGAGAGTACAGTACGCCTTGGCAGGACAACAGCGATGGATGGATATACATGAACCCAGATTTTTACTCTTTACCATCAAAATGTCCAACCAAAGAAGGCAAAATATGAAAATTGCCATATAAACCTGAACGTGATGAAATCCACAAAAGAAAGCATAAATGAAGGAAACATCCCGACCTTGAAGGAAGGCATCGTCCATCGCACAGTCATTTGGGCTACATGGAACTAAAGTCGAATATTTTACGGGCGACATCAACGGACATCATGATCGCCGGGTAAACAACACCGACCACCACGGCGGAGGGAATTCGATCCCCTTCATCTTTGCAATGTCCAGTATATCCTTATCAGCAAACCTTCTGCTGGGCTCTCCGGATAGCATCTTTATCACCTCTATGAGGTTCATTGGCGGACCATCAATTGCAGCTTGCGTTTTGTTGCTGTTCTCTCCGTCATGGCCGAGGGACGAACGCCTGGCGCTCTCCTCCTGCTCCCCATGTGACAAACAATGTTGAATAGAAACGGGCAGCTTTCTCGGCTGCGGATCAGCGGTCGAAGCCGCATTTGGTTCTCCCATCGCGCCGGCATCTGCTGTCGCTTGGGGATCCGCCGGCCGCTTCCGGCCTTCTTGGTCTGGCATCGGTGGCTCTACGCCTGCACTGAATCCTAAATCGTCATGCCCTTCTTGCTCCGACTCGGTAGGAGATATCGCGGAACTAATGTGCACGCCCCTGGATCTCTTCGTCGAAGCCCTCCCTTTCCTCTGGTCGGCTCCGTAGCCCGCTGCTGGAGGCTTCCGCACAGTTCTTTTAATCCGGGTTCCCATCCTTGGGCTGACGCCGGACGCCGCGTCGCCCGGGCGAGCGGCGACCCCGGCGGCGGCGGAGGCGGGAGCGGGGGCAGAAGATGCGGCGTGGGAAGTGGGCGGAGGGCTGCGATGGCTCTGGGCGGTGAAGGGGACGCCGGGGAGGCGGCCCTCCTGGGAGGAGGGCATCTCGTTTTCCTCGACCTCGACGTCGGAGGCGTGGCGATCCATTTGCCGATCCTTCGTCGCAAAAGGGCTTCTTTTCACACGGTGTTGAGTAGTGTCGAACAGGCCCTGCCGGGCGGTTTCTTGGCCCCAAAGATGAGCCCGAGTCCGCCGAGACTCTCGAACTCGGTCAGTTTCCGATTTCCCCTTCTTGAATTCGGAATAAATATTAACTAAATTCAGCATTGACTTTGTAATTTCTCATTAATTTCAGAAAAGATATGGTTTATTTTCACCTTATAAATTACTATGTTTTCTTCGTTACTTATTGTTATTTACTGATCTTTATATTTAATGTTATATGTCTTAAACTAACTTTCACATAGAAGCCACACACCTAATTACGGTGGTCTAAATCGTCAAACAAGAGTCAAAAGCGCTTTGTTTGATCTTTCTTTTCCGCTGCTTCGAGACTTGTTTGCAGCCTCCCCGCCCTATTGGACTCGCGGAAGCCACAGGAAAGCAGAAGGCAACATGACCGAAGCGGGGGCGACTGTTCATGTAATGCGACGACCGCAATGATTGAGAAAGAGAGATAGAGAGACGGAAATGTGCGGCGCGGCCAAATTATTGAGGCTGCTTCAGGGCTGCAATAGCATGGATAGGCTCCGCAAGATCCACGCCCAGGTGCTGCTCCAAGGCTACCATGGCCACCCCGCCGTCTCTGCCAAGCTCCTCTCCTTCTGTGCCACCTCCGCCGCCGGCGACCTCGCCTACGCCCGCCTTCTCTTCTCCGGCATCCTCCGCCCCACCACCGACCACTGGAACGCCCTCATCCGCGGCTCCTCCCGCAGTCCCGCCCCACTCGACGCCCTCTCCCTCTACAACGCCATGATGCGACGCGCTTCCTCCCGCCCGGACGCCTTCACCTTCTCCTTCCTCCTCAAGGCCTGTGCCCTCGCGAAAGCCGATCCCAAGTGCCGCGAGGCCCACGCCTCCATCGTCCACTCTGGGTTATCCTCCCACGTCATCGTCGGCACGAACCTGGTCCGGGCTTACGCGGACAACGGGTCCATCGACGAAGCGAGGAGGGTGTTCGACGAAATCCCTGACAAGGACCTGGTGGCCTGGAATTCCATGATCTCGTCCTTTTGTCACGCCGGTCTCCATGAGGACGCCTTGAAGGTCTACGACAGGATGAGGCAATCGGGCGTTGGCCTTGATGAGTTCACCGCTGTCGGGTTGCTCTCTTCCTGTGCTCACTTGGGTGCCTTGGGTTTTGGTGTCCGGATTTGCAAATTTGCCGAGGAAAATGGGTTCTTGCGGCGGAACGTGTTCGTGGGTAATGCACTGATAGACATGTACGCCAAGTGCGGCAGATTGGACGAGGCTCGTAGGGTCTTCGATGGGATGAGGAGGCGGGACAACTTCACATGGAACTCGATGATCAATGGGCTGGGAATTCATGGTCATGCTGACAAAGCCATCTTGCTTTTCCAGAGGATGCTGATGGCTGGAGTCCGACCCAACTCCATCTCGTTCCTTGGCTTGCTAACGGCGTGCAGTCACCATGGCCTAGTGGATGATGGCCTCAAATATTTTCAGAGGATGGGTTCTGCTTACAATATAAAGCCAGACCTCAAGCATTATGGATGCATGGTGGACATGTACGGGCGAGCTGGTAAGCTGGATGAGGCGCTTGAGTTCATACATAGTTCGCCTTTCAAGGACGATCCAGTCCTTTGGCGAATGCTACTGAGCGCATCCAGGATCCATGGAAGCGTGGTGATGGGTGAGATAGCCATCCAAAATCTTATTGAAATGTCAGCTAATAATGCAGGGGACTGTGTTCTTCTTTCTGATATCTATGAGCATGCCGGTGACAGCCAAGGTGTGGCTAGGATGAGGAAAATGGTGAAGGATCAAGGGATTAAGACAACTCCTGGCTGGAGCTGGATAGAAATTCATGGCGAAGTTAGGAAATTTGTGGTTGGTGATACTTCACATGCTGAGAGTGAGGAGATATATAAGAAGTTAGAGGAGATGATTAGTCGAGCAGCTTCTTTGGGTTATGCAATGGAAAGATCTGCAGAATGGCTCGAGAACTTTGTAGACAGCACAACTGACTATCATAGTGAGATGTTGGCTATTGCTCTTGGGCTACTGAGAACTCCCAAAGGGACAAGTCTTCGAATCGTGAAGAATTTGAGGGTGTGTAAGGCCTGTCATTCTCTCACTAAATATGCTTCCAGGATATATGATCGAGAAATTGTTGTTAGGGATCGGGTGCGATTTCATCATTTCAAGGAAGGCATTTGTTCTTGCAATGATTACTGGTAAAACTCGATATGACAAATAATTGGGAAAGAAAAGGCATTTGGAGGTTGAAATTTTCGGAAGAAAGGGGATTCAAACAGTAAACAAAATGCTGAAGATTCTGATTCACTTGGAACAAGCAGAAAGAGAAAGACTCTGACCTGGTCATGCAGAATTATTGTGGCAATTCAAACTCCAAGAATCAATTTGTTTCTCAATGAATCTGCTTATGTTTTCCTCTAAAGGTACCTACCATCAACTGTCATCTTGATCAGGTAAATCTTATATCTTTCGTGAAAAGGACTTGGGTATTAAATGAAACATTAGTGAATTCTATCAACAGTATGAACATAACCATAACAAATTGGACAAGAAAACTTGTAGGATAGTTTGTCAATTGATCCAGCTTAGAGAGGTAGTGTGCTATAGCCTTATATAAAGTGAAATTTTACTGGTTGTGTAAGTGAAACTGATAAATTGCTCATGGATCAGTGGGACGTTAATTAACCAACAATAGGGCATGCATGACTAGGAAACACATTTGTGAGAACATTATCACCCTCTTGGATATGTATTATAGAGCATCATAACCATGCTCTTATTTCTCCTCTCTCACTGTGTTTTTGTCATGTGGTATCTATCTTCCCTTTTGGATCACTGTTATTTTTAACATGCCTCTGTAGTTGGCTTGTAGAACTTCTAAATGTATCAATTAATAGCATTCTTTGGCGTCAGTGAAACTTAGTTTGATACTTTGTCATACAGGTATTCCAAAGGAATTTAGAATCCTAGGTCTATCATCTGAGACTCACATCAGGAACTCCGGTTTTCTTATGAACATGCAGTCGGTTCTTTTGTTCCAGAACAGACCATTACTCGATGAGAGCTAAAGATATGACGGCCTCACTTGAGCCTCCTTTTCCCATTTCAAAATTTTCGGTAAGCCCAAGTTTGATGTGCTTCTTGCAGTTGCATTGACACTATAAATCTAATATTTCCTGCATATGGGAATTTTCTGTGTAGGAATTCTTCTTGGTCCGATGAGCACTTACATGTACTGCATTCTCAGGTTCATTTCTTTCCAAACTTTTTGCCAACAATTATTGGATATTCTATTAAGCAAGTCAAGTTTGTTCTCTCTTTTAACTGTACAATTGCTATATTGATGCTGTCATTCTTATCATTCTGGCCATTTTTAGCTCCATTTTTCACTACTGCATATTTGATTTCCTGATTATAAAATCATATTACTAGCTTTGCCCCTTTCTTTTTCCTACTCGTAGATTTTGTTGTTATGATTAATTTGTCATGTTTGAGGATATAGCATTCCCTTTTGTGATTATATGGTGCATTTATAATGTTTAAAATGTGCATTACTTCTTGAAAAATGCATTGTCAATCCATTTAAGGATGCTTTTAAGTGCCTTCTTTGTAGGAACTTCCAAAATGGTACAAGTAATTCTTGGGTGCCCTCAGCTAACCTAACCCTTATTTGGGCCAAGCATTGAAATAAAGCATTTATGATTATATTTATATTTACTCAAATCATGCATTGATGAGAGCATTTTCGATTGGTCAAGTGCTTTGATCGGACTATTTTCGATCTTATTGTAGATCCATTTTGATCGTAAAATTATCTAAAAATAACAACATTAATCATCACCTTTATATCTAGTTTATTTGTATTATATATACCCTTTTGGGCAATCCTCACAGACTCATTTTAAGAACACAAGGGCTAGTTGAAGCAATAGGAGAGGCTCATTACTTTTTTTAGGGACTCAGTACTTCGATTGAGACTAGTTGAACATATATCTTAGATAATTTGTAAAGCAATGGACGAAATTATTTATGTGAAATCATAGGAAGTAATTTTTTTGGACTGTGGGAATCAATTTTGGAAAATCTCACAAGTGACTATGATGCTTTGGTTTCGAGGGGCATCAACTCATGGAAATAACATCTCAAACTCACGTACGTAAATCCAACTAAAAGTAATGACCTGAAGAATGGATGCTAAGAGATCATTTAGTTATATTCTATTCATGCATCTTAACGTTCTTGCAGTGGCTTTCTTGCGCCTGTTTAAGGAAGCCGTTGCACATGCGTATGCTTCCAGTTATCCTGCTGACACGACTTCTAATGCCAGTGGAAGAAAGAGAGCTTTCTTGAGAGAGGCGGCCGCCCCTGTCTCCTATGACGACTACCACCTGGGCGACTCCGCGGAGGAGCTGCTGCTGATGTTGCTGGCGCTGCGGCGGTGCGGCAGACGCTGGAACGAGGAGACGGAGGCCATGCGTTGGGATGGCCTTCTCATGCGCCCGCCGCGGACGAGGGCGAGGGCGGAGCGGATCTTGGCCCAGAGGAGGCGCGGCAGGCGGCGGACGCCGCTGAGGCGGGCCCAGGCGAGGCGGCGGACGCGGAGCGCCTTCTCCCTGGGGCCCTGCTTGCGGCAGAAGTGGTAGCTCCGGAGGAAGTTCTGCCGCCGCTCCATGTACTCCCCCTGCTGCTCCCACCGGAACATGTAGTCCGCCCCGAACAACGACGGCGGTGCCCCAACACCCTTCTCCGCCCTCATAGTCACATACCCCGCCGCCGCTGCTGCTAACGCCATTTGCCTTCTCGGTGAGGAAAGTAGGTGGACAAGGAAGGAAGACGAAGAAGAGGAGCCTTAAGGAGAGGAGTCGAATGGAGGTGGAGAATCCTCTCTCTCTCTCTCTCTCTGACGAAGAGGAAATCGAGGAGAATCCAACAGAGGTGGAGAATTCCTCTCGCTCGCTCACGAAGAGGAGCTTGAGGAGAGGAATCGAGCGGAGGTGGAGAATTCCTCTCGTTCTCTCTCTCCCTCCCTAAATGATCTGCCTCTCGCCCTCCCCGGTTTCTATTATGATCAGTGCAAGGGATGCGTAGGGTTAGATGGGATGGTGGTCGACGGCTCGTCTGGCGTAAGACCAACAGGTGGTCGCGTGGGAAATGCGTCGACGCCCGAAGTCGTACGACGGACTACTCTTGTCTTTTGAGCCGCACGATTGGAGGATCGCACAGAGGGATCGCTTACTCTCGGTCAAACGTACGCGCCCTCAGTGGTTCAAGGCGCACGTGGCTCCGAATCCTTGGATTCGATGACACTCCACATCGATCATCCGCTCTCCCTCCATCTAACATCTCTGCCGTCCGATCACAAGTCAAGATGGAGTGGGAAGGGTACGAGGACTTAGGTCGCGGTCAACACACGCTCTGGAAAACAGAGAAAGCAACAAAGCTTTCATGATGCTTTATTCTTCACATCCGCATCATTGGAAGACTTCACCCTTATCGATCAATACGATCTCGTCAACACACGCTCCTTTGTGGAAAGAATAGAGCAACAAAGTTCTCATGATGCTTTATTCTTCACATCCGCATCAATGGTAGACTTGACCCTTATCGATCAGTCCGATCTATCCCTGTTCTTACATAGGCGTGTCAAGAGTATTTAAACATTATTTTATTATTTATAATATTTGATTTTATATTTATCTTTTGCTCTTCTTTTGATTCTTTTAGTATTTAACTTTTGAATATATATAT